TGGAAACAGTGGTCGTGACTTCTGACTCCAGTGAGTCGATCTTGGAAACAGTGGTCGTGACTTCTGACTCCAGTGAGTCGATCGTGGAAACAGTGGTCGTGACTTCTGACTCCAGTGAGTCGATCGTGGAAACAGTGGTCGTGACTTCTGACTCCAGTGAGTCGATCGTGGAAACAGTGGTCGTGACTTCTGACTCCAGTGAGTCGATCGTGGAAACAGTGGTCGTGACTTCTGACTCCAGTGAGTCGATCGTGGAAACAGTGGTCATGACTTCTGACTCCAATGAGTCGATCGTGGAAACAGTGGTCGTGACTTCTGACTCCAGTGAGTCGATCTTGGAAACAGTGGTCGTGACTTCTGACTCCAGTGAGTCGATCGTGGAAACAGTGGTCGTGACTTCTGACTCCTGTGAGTCGATCGTGGAAACAGTGGTCGTGACTTCTGACTCCAGTGAGTCGATCGTGGAAACAGTGGTCGTGACTTCTGACTCCAGTGAGTCGATCGTGGAAACAGTGGTCATGACTTCTGACTCCAATGAGTCGATTGTGGAAACAATGGTCGTGACTTCTGACTCCAGTGAGTCGATCTTGGAAACAGTGGTCGTGACTTCTGACTCCAGTGAGTCGATCGTGGAAACAGTGGTCGTGACTTCTGACTCCTGTGAGTCGATCGTGGAAACAGTGGTCGTGACTTCTGACTCCAGTGAGTCGATCGTGGAAACAGTGGTCGTGACTTCTGACTCCAGTGAGTCGATCGTGGAAACAGTGGTCGTGACTTCTGACTCCAGTGAGTCGATCGTGGAAACAGTGGTCGTGATCGACGAGACCTGGAGCTCCTCCAGCGTGTCCTCCTCAAAGAAGTACGGCAGGCAGGGGGACATGGCGGGGCAGCCGAGAATGACAGAGAGAGCCACCGTAGAGTCTCGTCTTGAACTTACTCTTTTGAGTCGACTCAAAAGTCAACTCGCTACCGTAGAGTCTCGTCTTGAACTTACTCTTTTGAGTCGACTCAAAAGTCAACTCGCTACCGTAGAGTCTCGTCTTGAACTTACTCTTTTGAGTCGACTCAAAAGTCAACTCGCTACCGTAGAGTCTCGTCTTGAACTTACTCTTTTGAGTCGACTCAAAAGTCAACTCGCTACCGTAGAGTCTCGTCTTGAACTTACTCTTTTGAGTCGACTCAAAAGTCAACTCGCTACCGTAGAGTCTCGTCTTGAACTTACTCTTTTGAGTCGACTCAAAAGTCAACTCGCTACCGTAGAGTCTCGTCTTGAACTTACTCTTTTGAGTCGACTCAAAAGTCAACTCGCTACCGTAGAGTCTCGTCTTGAACTTACTCTTTTGAGTCGACTCAAAAGTCAACTCGCTACCGTAGAGTCTCGTCTTGAACTTACTCTTTTGAGTCGACTCAAAAGTCAACTCGCTACCGTAGAGTCTCGTCTTGAACTTACTCTTTTGAGTCGACTCAAAAGTCAACTCGCTACCGTAGAGTCTCGTCTTGAACTTACTCTTTTGAGTCGACTCAAAAGTCAACTCGCTACCGTAGAGTCTCGTCTTGAACTTACTCTTTTGAGTCGACTCAAAAGTCAACTCGCTACCGTAGAGTCTCGTCTTGAACTTACTCTTTTGAGTCGACTCAAAAGTCAACTCGCTACCGTAGAGTCTCGTCTTGAACTTACTCTTTTGAGTCGACTCAAAAGTCAACTCGCTACCGTAGAGTCTCGTCTTGAACTTACTCTTTTGAGTCGACTCAAAAGTCAACTCGCTACCGTAGAGTCTCGTCTTGAACTTACTCTTTTGAGTCGACTCAAAAGTCAACTCGCTACCGTAGAGTCTCGTCTTGAACTTGTCAGAACCAGCAGTAGAAAGTAAGAATGAAGAAAGGAGGGGTTTCACTAGCAAGCAGTTGAGTACATATAGGAAACCCTAGATTGGGCTGTATTCGCTATAGAGTACCCCACTGCAGGCTAGACAAATACAACATTCTGACACACCCCCATAGCCAAAGTGGGGTGTAATCAGCACAATGAGCAGGTATAGCAGGAGTTCACAATAAGAAGCAAAGCTAGAGGTAATCACAGCGGGCAAGTGAGGAGGAGGAGGGACTGTGAGAGGAGAGAAGATGAGAGACGGCGGTTGAAGCTGCAGACACACGGGCAACAGGAGCTGCTGGCAGAGTGGCTACCGGGACAGTGCGCCCCGGACTACTGGAGTAACTGGCTCACAGGCTACGACGAGCTACAGGAGCAACGGACCCTCGGGCGACAGGCGCAGCAGACTCTCTGGGCTATCAGGACAGTGCGCCCCGGACTACAGGTGCTGCGGACGACAAGACAGCAGCCTCCGCTCAACCTCCTCCAACTGTCCCACACACCCTCCACACACCCACTGCTTCACTCCTAACTCCACTTGCACGTCACCCCCCTAGTACCACTCCTTCGGCTCCCACACACCCACCCCCCTCAGCGGCAGCTGCAGCACTGGGAGACGGAGGAGGAGGAGGAGTAGGGGACGACGCACAGAAACTGCACCCCCATACCCCCCACCCCCAAACCCTAATTCAGGAGAACGGGCAGCAGCAGGGGTGGGGCGCCGTCAGAAGCACGGGGAACAGCGGGCAGCGCAGGGGCAGAGAAAACAGGGCGCCCACGGGCCTGGCGCAGCCCGTACGAACCGCGTGCGGGCGGCCCGAGGCGCGCCCTGGCCTGGCGCAGTCCGTACGGGCCGCGCGCGGGCCTGGCGCTGCCCGTACGGGCCGCGCGCGGGCCTGGCGCAGCCCGTACGGGCCGCGCGCGGGCCTGGCGCAGCCCGTACGGGCCGCGCGCGGGCCTGGCGCAGCCCGTACGGGCCGCGCGCAGGCTGTACGGGCCGCGCGCGGGCCCTACGCAGGTCGCGCAGGCCGCGACGGGCGACGGGGGGCGACGCGCGGGTCCCCGTCGCCCGTCGCAGCGCCTCCCGGGAGCGACGCGCGGAGTGACGGGGCAGAAAGCCGCCGCGCGCCTCGGGGCGCACGGCGGGCAGAAAACCGCCGCACGCTCCGAGCGCGCGGCGGGATGAAAAATCCGTCGCACGCCACGGGGCGTGCAACACACAGAATAGCAGTAGCAGCGGAAGCAGTGAGGTGGTGGGCCCACCCACAGGATCGACCCAAGGGGATCGACCTGCTCTGATAGCATGTCAGAACCAGCAGTAGAAAGTAAGAATGAAGAAAGGAGGGGTTTCACTAGCAAGCAGTTGAGTACATATAGGAAACCCTAGATTGGGCTGTACTCGCTATAGAGTACCCCACTGCAGGCTAGACAAATACAACATTCTGACAGAACTTACTCTTTTGAGTCGACTCAAAAGTCAACTCGCTACCGTAGAGTCTCGTCTTGAACTTACTCTTTTGAGTCGACTCAAAAGTCAACTCGCTACCGTAGAGTCTCGTCTTGAACTTACTCTTTTGAGTCGACTCAAAAGTCAACTCGCTACCGTAGAGTCTCGTCTTGAACTTACTCTTTTGAGTCGACTCAAAAGTCAACTCGCTACCGTAGAGTCTCGTCTTGAACTTACTCTTTTGAGTCGACTCAAAAGTCAACTCGCTACCGTAGAGTCTCGTCTTGAACTTACTCTTTTGAGTCGACTCAAAAGTCAACTCGCTACCGTAGAGTCTCGTCTTGAACTTACTCTTTTGAGTCGACTCAAAAGTCAACTCGCTACCGTAGAGTCTCGTCTTGAACTTACTCTTTTGAGTCGACTCAAAAGTCAACTCGCTACCGTAGAGTCTCGTCTTGAACTTACTCTTTTGAGTCGACTCAAAAGTCAACTCGCTACCGTAGAGTCTCGTCTTGAACTTACTCTTTTGAGTCGACTCAAAAGTCAACTCGCTACCGTAGAGTCTCGTCTTGAACTTACTCTTTTGAGTCGACTCAAAAGTCAACTCGCTACCGTAGAGTCTCGTCTTGAACTTACTCTTTTGAGTCGACTCAAAAGTCAACTCGCTACCGTAGAGTCTCGTCTTGAACTTACTCTTTTGAGTCGACTCAAAAGTCAACTCGCTACCGTAGAGTCTCGTCTTGAACTTACTCTTTTGAGTCGACTCAAAAGTCAACTCGCTACCGTAGAGTCTCGTCTTGAACTTACTCTTTTGAGTCGACTCAAAAGTCAACTCGCTACCGTAGAGTCTCGTCTTGAACTTACTCTTTTGAGTCGACTCAAAAGTCAACTCGCTACCGTAGAGTCTCGTCTTGAACTTACTCTTTTGAGTCGACTCAAAAGTCAACTCGCTACCGTAGAGTCTCGTCTTGAACTTACTCTTTTGAGTCGACTCAAAAGTCAACTCGCTACCGTAGAGTCTCGTCTTGAACTTACTCTTTTGAGTCGACTCAAAAGTCAACTCGCTACCGTAGAGTCTCGTCTTGAACTTACTCTTTTGAGTCGACTCAAAAGTCAACTCGCTACCGTAGAGTCTCGTCTTGAACTTACTCTTTTGAGTCGACTCAAAAGTCAACTCGCTACCGTAGAGTCTCGTCTTGAACTTACTCTTTTGAGTCGACTCAAAAGTCAACTCGCTACCGTAGAGTCTCGTCTTGAACTTACTCTTTTGAGTCGACTCAAAAGTCAACTCGCTACCGTAGAGTCTCGTCTTGAACTTACTCTTTTGAGTCGACTCAAAAGTCAACTCGCTACCGTAGAGTCTCGTCTTGAACTTTCTCTTTTGAGTCGACTCAAAAGTCAACTCGCTACCGTAGAGTCTCGTCTTGAACTTACTCTTTTGAGTCGACTCAAAAGTCAACTCGCTACCGTAGAGTCTCGTCTTGAACTTACTCTTTTGAGTCGACTCAAAAGTCAACTCGCTACCGTAGAGTCTCGTCTTGAACTTACTCTTCTCAAAATCGATGGGACCTCAAGTTCCTCCAGCGTTTCCTCCGCAAAGAAATACGGCAGGCAGGGGGGCGTGGCGGATGGGTGAACTGCAAAGGTGTGGGTTTCTTACACTAACTCATTCCCTCACAATGTTCACCCATTGCTTCGAATGTAACTCACTGCTTTCACGATCGACGGGACCTGAAGCTCCTCCAGCGTCTCCTCTTCAGAGAAGTACGGCAGGGCGGGGCAGCAGCTGCAGGTACGGGTGAAGGTGCTCACCATACCATACAGAGCATAACTCACCGTTTTGATGATTGATGGGAACTGGAGCTCCTCTAACGTCTCTTCTTCAAAGAAGTACGGCAGGGGGACGTGGCGGGGCAGCAGCTGCAGGTACGGCCACCAGAAGGACTCCGTCCTCGTTTTAAGCATCTCCCTTAGCAGCCACGCGGCGGCGACAGTGAAGGCCCACACAGGCCCAGGGTAGGGGGGTCCCCCTATGGCTTGCAGCATGGCGGGGGTGGTGACCCAGAGGGAGGAGGGGATGGAGAGCATCACTGAGTCCTCCTCGTGATCCCGCCCTGCCCTCACTGACATCTGGCGCCTGGAGTAGATGTGTAAGGGGAGGGATGGAACAAGGCACACGACCACTCTTGGGGCCCCCCTATGGCTTGGAGCATGGCGGGGGTGGGTATTCAGAGGGAACTGAGTATAGAGAGGATTACCGAGTCCTCTTCATGATCCCGCCCTGCCCGCACTGATAGCTGGCGCCTGGGATAGGTGTGTAGGGGGAGGGAGAGAAGAAAGAGAGAGTGAGGCACAAGGCACAGGCCGAGGCTAGGCGTGGTTACCAAGAGGGAGGAGGGGATGGAGAGCATCACTGAGTCCTCCTCGTGATCCCGCCCTGCCCGCACTGATAGCTGGCGCCTGGGATAGGTGTGTAAGAGGAGGGGAGGGATGGAACAAGGCACAAGACACAGCATCACTCTTTGGGATAGACTTTTGAGTCGACTCAGAAGTCAAATTGGGATACCCCTTGTGTTTTGGAGCATGGTGGGGGTGGTGATCCAGAGGGAGGTGGGCATGGAGAGCAGCACTGGGCTCTCCTCTTGATCGCGCCCTGCCCGCACTGATAGTTGGCGCCTTAGTTGCGGAAGACGCGTCTAGCGTCTTAGAAGCGTCCGTCTAGACGCAGCGTCTAAGACGCTAGACGCTAGACAGTGTAGATTAGACGCAGTATTAGACGAAAACCCGGGCAGGCCTAAAAAAAATGTTCGGGCAGACCAAAAAAAGTTCTATGGGGCATGGGGAGGGTGGGGGACATGCACCTATGTCACAATGGATACTAGAAGACATGGTTGTGCGGTGGAAGTAGCTAAACCCTAAGGGTTTTCGAAAGAGATTTGGAAGAAATGGAGGTAGGGGAGCACAAATGAGGGATTTGTGCTCCCCAACCTCTTGGTGGTTAGCCATAGAGGTTGGGTTTTCTAGATACCAAGCGGTGAAGTGTGGTTTGAACTTTGTGTTCAATTTTGGTTGGGGGGGATTCAAATTTGCTTGGGGGGCTGGTTTTTGTGGTCGAAATGGGTGGGAAGGGGTTCTAATGGCGCGAAATTGAATTTCGCGTCAAAATGGCGAATTTCAATTTCGCACGCGCGAATTTTTTTTTCCGGGCTGCCCGAAAAAAATCGCCCAAGCGTCTTGCGTCTAAAAGTGCGTCTTGCGTCTAGCGTCTAGACGCTGCGTCTAGACGCTAGACGCAAGACGCGTCGAGCGTCTTCCGCAACTAAGGTTGGCGCCTGGAATAGGTGTGTTGTGTAGGGGGGAGGATAGAACCAGCTCACCTGCTTTCCTGCTCTTGAGTGTCACCATGCACTGGCGCAGTCTCATTCCAGAAGACAATCTGCCACAGCAGCGGATGATGGTGGTGGTGGTGGTGTTACAAGGAGGAAGGAAGAGCAGCACTGTGCTGTGGTGACTTTTGAGGCGCCTCAAAAGGCACAGGATACATCAATTCGTCCTACGTACGTACATACAGGGTGCTATGCTACCACCGCCCTACCGCCCAGCCTTGCATAGCATAGAACGGTTTTTGAGGCGCCAGAAAACATCGACACAGCATGCATGGTGCGGCATGAAATGCAGCCGTAAGGCACGGCAACTAGTGGCACACGCACGGAACGCAACGCAGGGCACCCACTCCTAAAACACCCTCACTCGCTCCTCCTCGTCTACGCCTCATCTCCTCCTCATCTCCTCCTCATCTCCTCCTCACCTCACCCTCATCTCACCCTCATCTCACCCTCTGCTCAAAACATCCCACTTGCCCACCTCAATCACTCAGTCACGCACCTCAATCTCAACGCACCTTAATCCCCAAGCCAGGCTTGTCATAGTCCGCTATCCCATTCGCCCGCACCCACTCCACAAACACCCCCACTCGCTCCTCCTCATCTGAGTTGCTAAGTCTCATTCATTCGCCAACCCGAATCAGTCACCCAAAGCGCACACAACGCACCTCAATCCCTGAGCCTGGCATGTTGTAATCTGCCATGCCATTCGCCCGCACCCACTCCACAAACACCCTCACCCGCTCCTCCTCCCCCATCTCGCCCATCCTCTCCCCCGCCACCTCACTCCACACCCCTGCCCTCCCCGTCAGCTCACTGCCGCCCCTGCCAAACCCCATCTGGCTGTCCTTTCCAATCACCCTGGTCTGTGTACCAAACCCTTTCCTTTCTTGCACGCTACCCTCCTTCTCTCGCTCCTCTCCCTCCTCCCTCTCTCCTTCCCCCTCTGTCTCTTCCCTCCCTCCCTCCTCATGCTCTTCTCCCCCTTGGGATGAAACTGTTGTTGCATCTCGTTCAGCTGCTGCTGCTGACGTGGCGGTTGCTGATTGGGGCTTGCAGGCGGAGGCGAGGCGATCGGAGGCAGCCAATAGGATGCTGCGCTTGCTGGCGAGGAATCGCAGCAGCGAATGGGATGGACCCACGTGGGCAAGGACGGACAGCTGGCAAGCCTGCAAGAGGGGCATGGCATGGGATGCAGGATTGGAGGGGAAGATGCACAAAAGGGGTGGAATGGAAATGGGTGGAATGCACATGGCAGGAGTGCAAGAGTAGAGAAGACAGGGAGACGTGCGTTCGGGCGACATCTAATCTAAACTGCTTGTCCCCCGACCATGGCACTCTCTACCTGTTCCATCCCTGCTATAAGCTCCCCGGGTCGATTCCCGCTGCGCTCCCTTCATACGCAGACCATCCCCCAACCGACCCATGCCTCCCACTGTATCCCCGCTATAACCTCCCACTGTATCCCCGCTATAATCTCCCACTGTATCCCCGCTATAACCTCCCGCTGTTCCTCACCTCGTCCACTTGAACTGAGTCAATCCCCGCTGCCCTTCCTTCCCGACACACCATCCCCTTCTCCACCCATGCCTTTGCCCCTCCCAACGCCTGCTCTATCCTCGTTAAAAGCTCCCCCATTGGCAGCTGCAAGCTGCTGACCACCACGTCTAGAATCTCAGGAAGGCTTGTCAAGAAAGAGGAGGGGGAGTAGGAGAGGGGGAGGAAGAGCGGGTGGGAGGGGAGGGAGAGCAGATGCATGTGCGTGCAGGTGGTGGTGCCGTCCAGATTCCACGCCAGTGCCACGCTTATTCTTGCTAGCAGCGCGGCATCGAGTTCTGGGTGGGGAAGGGAGGGAGGGAGGGAGGGAAGAGTGGTGACAGGGGTCATGAGTGCGGCGGTAGATACTCTTGCGCTCCCATCACGCTCACCCGCGCCTGCAGCACTGCATCAAGTTCTAGGTGGGGAGGGAGGGAGGGAGGGAGGGAGGGAAATGAGTAGCGGGTGAGTAGAGAGTGGGGGTGGGGTTGAGATGAGTGTGCGATGAGCACGGGTAGGGGTGAGGGTGAGATGAGTGTGGTGTGTGGAGTGTGCACAGTGGGAAGAGTGAGTGAGGGAGGTGGGAAAGGCGGCAGCATGCATGCATGCAATGAGGGCCAAATCACGTGTGATAACGTGTGTGCATGCATGTAGACGTGCATGCATGTGGACGAGCATGCATGTGGACGTGCATGCATGTGGACGTGCATGCACGTGGACGTGCATGCACGTGGACGTGCATGCATGTGGACGTGCATGCACGTGGACGTGCATGCAGGTGGACGTGCATGCAGGTGGACGTGCAATGCAGGTGGACGTGCATGCATGCACGTGGACGTGCATGCACGTGGACGTGCATGCATGCACGTGGACGTGCATGCACGTGGACGTGCATGCACGTGGACGTGCATGCATGTGGACGTGCATGCACGTGGACGTGCATGCATGTGGACGTGCATGCTGTCAGAATAATATATAATTCTATATATTGTTCTATAACTGCCTATAGTTTAGAATACTGTAGTCATATAACTTTCTGTTTGGTGGTGCACCTTTCTTCATTCTTGCCTATTTGTACTGCTCGCTCTATAGTGAACAACCTCTTTTGTTGGCTCACACCTCTCGCTACTCCCCGTCCCAAGTTCCTAAGCTACTCTCTAAGCTATGGAGGTTCCTAAGGCATAGCACTTATTCTGATATGGTATCGAGAGCCTGGTTCGCCTAGGCCTGCTTCTGATTGTCATTCATGGCGCCCCTCGTCGCGCCGTGCATCGCGCTGCCAGTAACGCAGCTTCCACTCGTCACGCTGCTGCCCGTGACGGGGAGCTGGGCGAAGGCACTAGCTGCGGCCCCGGTTCAGCCTCTCGTCGCGCGCCTCGCTGGCCCCGTTTATCGCCACATCGCGCTGCTCCGACGCCTGGCCGGTCGCGCTACACCGTCCCCCCGCCCCGCCAACCATACAGCTGCCGCGACTGCAGCTGCGATGCTAGCGACGGCGAGCGGCGCAAAGGCGCTCGTCGCACCCTCCGTTACGACCCCCCGTCCCGCTCGTCGCAGCCCACCTGCGATCCCGCCAGCGCCAGCAGCATTCGCGCCTGCTGTGGGGGGAAGTGGAGTGACGGGGGGGGGCGCTGTAAGCCGCCAGCAGCGCCTGCCGTCACCCTTTATCGCCCCACACGCGACCGTCGCTGTGGGGGGGAGGGTGTGGCGGGAGTGTACCCGCAGGAACCAGCTGCCGCCCTCCTCTCTCCTCTCTCTCCCTGCAGCATCTGTCGCTATGGGGGAAAGGGGGGAGTGTGAGGGGGTGGCGAGAGAGATTCTGCCGAGCCAGCAGCCGCCCCTCCTCCCCTCTCTCTCACTGCCGCGTGTGCCATTGTGGGGGGGAGAATGAGGGGGCGGCGGAAGTCAGCCGGTCATCTGCTGCTGTCGCCCGATGCTGTCGTGGCACCTCCAGCTGCCGCCCCTGCTGCCACCTGCCTTTACTGCCTTTGCTTCTGCTGCCCGCTGCTAGGGGCCTGCAGGTGCTGCCGTCGAGCCGCTGCTGTCCTGCTGCACGTTGCAGCCACAGAGCCTGCTCCTCAGGCGACCTGCCGCCCCTACACCTGCTACTGTTTCTGCCTTGGCCGAGGGGTTGGTACAGCTGGATCTGCCATCACTGCACCGGTTGCCACTGCACTTGCTTGTTGCTGTGATTTCCACTGCGGCCTGTCTGGTGTACCCCATTATGGGGGCGTTGACTGCACATTCTTCCCTACAGGCACTTATGGGGGCGTGTCAGAATAATATATAATTCTATATATTGTTCTATAACTGCCTGTAGTTTAGAATAATGTAGTCATATAACTTTCTGTTTGGTGGTGCACCTTTCTTCATTCTTGCCTATTTGTACTGCTCGCTCTATAGTGAACAACCTCTTTAGTTGGCTCACACCTCTCGCTACTCCCCGTCCCAAGTTCCTAAGCTACTCTCTAAGCTATGGAGGTTCCTAAGGCATAGCACTTATTCTGATACATGCATGTGGACGTGCATGCATGTGGACGTGCATGCATGTGGACGTGCATGCATGTGGACGTGCATGCATGTGGACGTGCATGCATGTGGACGTGCATGCATGTGGACGTGCATGCATGTGGACGTGCATGCATGTGGACGTGCATGCATGTGGACGTGCATGCATGTGGACGTGCATGCATGTGGACGTGCATGCATGTGGACGTGCATGCATGTGGACGTGCATGCATGTGGACGTGCATGCATGTGGACGTGCATGCATGTTGACGTGCATGCATGTGGACGTGCATGCATGTGGACGTGCATGCATGTGGACGTGCATGCATGTGGACGTGCATGCATGTGGACGTGCATGCATGTGGGGGTGTGTAACGAGGTAAGAGCGGTGTGCTGGATCCGCGCCCCCGGCTTATCCGCAGCAGCTGCAGGCGTCGCTGCGGGAGGCGCTCGCGCGCATATCAAGGTGCCTCTGCTGTTCGCTGCGTGAAAGTATATCTGTTTTGAGACGTCTCTAAACGAAACCGCTTTTGGGGGCCGCTGGGGCGTATGTTAGCGTGCCTCGGCCTTTCGCTGCAAACAACCGTCCCGGTTGATCTCGTGCACCTCGTGTCCCCTTCCGTTCACGCGAGCCCTTGTCGCATTGCTATCTCAGCGTGTGGGCGTTAAGGCGCGCGCTGGCGTTAAGGCGCGCGCTGGCGTTTGAGCGCGCGCGCTTTCCACCATTCCCGCGTTGCCTCATAGACGAACCGCTTTTCACGGCGAGTGGCACCTCGGATTAGCTCGGATCGGCTCGGATCAAGCGCGTGACGCGTGACGTGCGCGTGGGGTGTGGAAAGTGCAGATGGAAGTGGCGAGGGAAGTGGAGAGGGAAGTGGCGAGGGAAGTGGAGAGGGAAGTGGAGAGGGAAGTGGAGAGGGAAGTGGCGAGGGAAGTGGCGAGGGAAGTGGAGAGGGAAGTGGAGAGGGAAGTGGCGAGGGAAGTGGAGAGGGAAGTGGAGGGAAGTGGAGAGGGAAGTGGAGAGGGAAGTGGAGAGGGAAGTGGAGAGGGAAGTGGAGGGAAGTGGAGAGGGAAGTGGAGAGGGAAGTGGAGAGGGAAGTGGCGAGGGAAGTGGAGAGGGAAGTGGAGAGGGAAGTGGAGAGGGAAGTGGCGAGGGAAGTGGAGAGGGAAGTGGAGAGGGAAGTGGCGAGGGAAGTGGAGAGGGAAGTGGCGAGGGAAGTGGCGAGGCGGGATGGACACATGGGCTGCTATGCTAACAGCGCCAAATCAGGGCCTGGTGAGGTCAATGTGACGGACCAGCAAACACCTATACTAACACCTATACTTCCAATGTGACGGGCCTGGGTAGGTCAATGTACCTAACACCTATACTTCCAAGCATCAGCCACACACAAGCATGAGCCACCCGCAAGCATGAGCCACCCGCAAGCATGAGCCACCCGCAAGCATGGTAGGTATGGGAGGCCATGACGTACCAGCAAAGCATGAGGCGCGAGCTAGCATCTGCTTGAGGCCAACTGTAATTGGTAGCTACCTTCCCCAGTAGTACCTTCCCCAGTAACAGCCAGCAGCACAGCGGCACTGTACTGAGCAACGAGCTCAGGGTCCATCCTGCCATCCGCGTACACATACAGCCCCTCCCCTCCCTCCTCCTCTCCCTCCTCGCTCTCCTCCCCCTCCTCCATCCCTCCCTCATCCTTCCCCCCGCTGCCTCTCCCACCACCTCTCTCACTCCTCTCTCCTGCCTCTCCTGCCTCTCCCCCTTCTCCCCCATCTTCCTCCTCTCCTCTCTCCCTCTCTCTCTCGACCGCCTCTCTCATTCTCTTTGCAAGTCTCTCGGCCAGCCTCGCTCGCATGCCCCGCCGTCTCTCCCAGAAGAGCATCTGCTCAAGCACGCGCCCCATCCCTTCCAAATCCCACTCCCCATCCCCAAAGCCCCCTGCCCTGCTGTGCTCCTCCGCTCCAGAAAGCTCTGGGGTGTTTTCCCCAGCACCTTCCCCACCACCCTCCACCACACCCTTCCCCCTGTCCCTCTGAGAAAGACCTTGGGAGACTTTTTCCTTTCGCTGCATCCTGTTGTGAAGGCCCCAACCCCAACGGGTGTCGACACTTGTGCGGATGATAAGGCCTTTTTTCAGGGCGGCAGAGAGGAGATGGTCTTTCACCGCCCGCACTTGCTCCACTGCCTTCCTGCCTGCTGCTGCCGCCCGCGCTTCAAAGCGCAAACGCAAAGAAGGATTCGGGAAGGCGGGCGTTGAGATGCTGCGAATGACGCTGAGGAGGGAGGGGAAGAGCTGCAGGGGAGGAAAGGGGAGAGGAGAAGGGAAGCGAGGTGAGTGGAGGAGAGGGGCGGAGAGGAGGAGTGTGAGTCTGAAAGTAAGGAAACTCTGTAAAACACTGCAGGGAAGGCGGGCGTTGAGATGCTGCGAATGACGCTGAGGAGGGAGGGGAAGAGCTGCAGGGGAGGAAAGGGGAGGGGCGGAGGGGGGAGGAGGGGAGAAGGGAGAAGGGAGAGGGGAGGAGAGGGGAGGAGAGGGGAGGAGAGGGGAGGAGAGGGGAGGAGAGGGGAGGAGAGGGGAGGAGAGGGCAGGAGAGGGGAGGAGAGCGAGTGTTAAGATAAGGGTGTTGCTGGAAGACACTGGCCCAAAATCATACAGCAGTCATCACATGATTTTTGCGCGCGGCGAGAGGTTCGTGGCGAGAGAGAGGTTCGTGGCAACACAGCACCTCAACTTTCGAGTTGACTCAGAGATCGTCTCTCATCACACGTGGCAACGGCATGGACAGAACCGACCTGTTTTGAGGCGCCTCAAAACAGCACCTCAATTTACGTTTTGAGGCGCCTTAACACAGCACCTCAATTTTCGAGTTGACTCAAAGATCGTCTCTCATCACACGTGGCAACGAGGTGTATTTTGAGCCGCCTCAAAATACAACTCAACTCATCACACGAGGCAACGGCATGGATACACCTCGTGACAGAACCGAGCTGCAGGCAAAGTTCAAACGACTTTTGAGACGCCTCAAAAGTCAACACGTGGCAAACCTCGTGACAGAACCGACCTCCAGGCAAACACTCGACTAGGGAGGCACTCCAGTCCGGCCAGCCGCCATGTGCTCCCACCCACCAGCAGAATGTGGTCTTGAGCGAACAACGACACCTCTCCCCCCCCCCCCCTTTTGAGGCGCCTCAAAAGCAGGCAAACGCTCAACTAGAGAGGCACTCCCGCCAGCCGCCATGTGCTCCCACCCACCTGCACATGGTCTCGAGCGAACAAAGACACGCTCCCCCCCTCACGACCCACCTGGACCGCTCACGAATCACCTGCACCACTCAAAACCCACTTGCACCGCTCAATACCGGCCTGTGCCGCTTGAGAACGGACCTGCACGCGGTCAAAGGCGGAACAGGCGGGGATGATCCCGAGGGAGAAGAAGGCATCGTCGTTGGAAAGCAGCGTGGCTGTCCACCTCCTCCACCTCCCCCAGCGATCTCAACTGCACCTGCTAAAAAACGACATTTACTGCTCGGTACCTAGCACCACCGCTTTGCACCGACCTGCACGCGGTCGAAGGAGGAGCAGGCCGGGATGATCCCGAGGGAGAGGAAGGCGTCGTCGTTGGATATCAACGTGGCCGGCGACACAGACCTGTCCGCCTCCTCCACCTCCCCCAGAGAAGACAAGCGCGCCCGCCCTTCCCCTTCCTCATCCTCCTCGCTCTCCAAATCTGCTGCTGTCCCCTGCGCCCCTGCATGCGCTGCTACTTGTAGCGAGTCGCGCTGTAGCGGGTCGGGCTGTAGCGGGTCGGGCAGGCCGCCGTTGAGAGGCAGCACGAGAGCAGCCCTGGTGGGAATGACTTCTGACGCCCTCAGGTGGAATCCCGCGTGGGTCAGCTGCCAGAGGGGGGGGGGGGGAGGGATGAGAGAAAGGGACGTAGGGGAAAATTAGGCTGAACTGAAACCCTTGTGGAATCGAGGGACAAGCTGATGTAAGAGGAGTTGGGAAGGGATAGAAGTGGGGAAAGAAAAAGGGTGTGGAAATTTTAAGCACAACTAATGGAAGAGTGGAGGAATGGAGTAAGAACGTATTCCAATGCAGGGACACCATCCGAAGTTGGGACACCTTGTTGGCTTTTTCATTTGCTTTTGAATGAAGGTCTAAATATAATGTTACCCCGTAGATTAAAAGGCTGGATGGATTCTCAAACTGTCAGAAGTAAACCAGTCTCGATGTGCTGGGTGACCTGCTGGGTGACCTCACTTGGTCCCGCTTTTCAACTCACTGGCACGTCTGACCTGCAGTGTACTGAAAGCGTCAGAGTTGCAAATTTCGTAGCATCGTATCTAGGTCACGTTGAACTAGGGGAAGTAGGCACGCAGCACGAGAAAACGCTCAAATTGTCCAAACTTCGCATGGTGTCCCTGCGTTGGAACAAGATCTGTCAAAAGAGGACAGGTGGGCTGTGGAGGCCTTACTTCCATCAACTCGTGTTGTATTAGGACAACGAAACAAACTCCATGAAAAAATGGCGGAAGGAGCCTGGTGTGCGCTAGCTTAGAACGTTATTGAGAGAGCCAGTTTAAAACAAATCTTCACTTAAAGGATCAGGGACATTGCAAACTAGTTTCGGCTTTTTCAAGCCTTCATCAGTACAAGCCTGAAAACTTCGCATGGTTTCCCTGCGTTGGAACACGATCTAAGAAGTGTTATTGCACGACTGGGAAGCACCAGCAGGTCTGCTCTGGTAACATCCACGTACGGTCCACACCACCACACAACCTGCCATTGCAGCTTGCCACTGCCAGCCTCTCACCTCCCACACCTTGCCAGCCTCTCACCTCCCACACCTTGCCAGCCTCTCACCTCCCACACCTTGCCAGCTTCTCACCTCCCACACCTTGCCAGCCTCTCACCTCCCACCACACGTTCCCGGCCTCTCACTCACCTCCCACCACACGTTCCCTTGGTGCCTCTCAGTGGCCCGCACAACAGCATTCATGAGAGGCACCACCGTCAACTCAAACCGCCGCTGCTTCTGCTTCCTCCACCTCTTCCCTCCCCTCCTTCCGCCCTTCTTCCCCCTGCCCCCCCCCTGCTCCTGTTGCTCTCCCTGCTCCCCCTGCCCCTCCTGCAGGGGCGGCAGGCGCATGGGCAGAGCCAGCGCCCTCACGGCCGCCACCGTCGCCAGAAACTGCTGCAGCGACGGCAGCGAGGGGGGGCTGCTGTTGCTGCTGCTGCCGCTGCCGGCGGTAATGCTGGCGGTCCAGTTGGCATGCTCCTGCTCGTACTGCTGCCTCTCTTTCACGGCCTGGGTAGGGTGAGAACGTCCAAAAGAAGGGATTGGACCAAGGGGCAGGTGCAAGGACGAAAGGCAAGGACAAGAAGAGTGAGGGAGGGCGGGGGTTGGCATTGGAAGAGAATAGTGCGAGTGCATGTGAGCGTGAGTGCATGTGAGCGTGAGTGCATGTGAGCGTGAGTGCATGTGAGCGTGAGTGCATGTGAGCGTGAGTGCATGTGAGCGTGAGCGCATGTGAGCGTGAGTGCATGTGAGCGTGAGTGCATGTGAGCGTGAGTGCATGTGAGCGTGAGTGCATGTGAGCGTGAGTGCATGTGAGCGTGAGCGCATGTGAGCGTGAGTGCATGTGAGCGTGAGCGCATGTGAGCGTGAGTGCATGTGAATAATGAGTGCGAATATTCAGAGTGAGAAGTGAGAGTGGGGGGAGGGTGGGGGTTGGCATTGGAAGAGAAGAGTGCAAGTGCATTTATAGAGTGAATATCCAGAGTGAGAAGTGAGAGTGAGAGTGGGGAGGCAAAGAGTGGGTGGGCAAGGGAGGGAAAAATTGGGTGGGGAGAGAATAATGAGAGTGAATTTGTGAGTGAAAAGCGAGAGTGCATTTATAGAGTGAATATCCAGAGTGAGAAGTGAGAGTGAGAGTGGGGAGGCAAAGAGTGGGTGGGCAAGGGAGGGAAAAATTGGGTGGGGAGAGAATAATGAGAGTGAATTTGTGAGTGAAAAGCGAGAGTGCATTTATAGAGTGAATATCCAGAGTGAGAAGTGAGAGTGAGAGTGGGGAGGCAAAGAGTGGGTGGGCAAGGGAGGGAAAAATTGGGTGGGGAGAGAGGAGGAGAGTGGGAAGACGAATGGGAGCACTGGAACAGCAGATCAAGGGGAAGGGGGGTGGGGAGGGAGTAGGGGAAAGGGGAGGGAGTAGGGGAAAGGGGAGGGAGTAGGGGAAAGGGGAGGGAGTAGGGGAAAGGGGAGGGAGTAGGGGAAAGGGGAGGGCGTAGGGGAAAGGGGAGGGAGTAGGGGAAAGGGGAGGGAGTAGGGGAAAGGGGAGGGAGTAGGGGAAAGGGGAGGGCGTAGGGGAAAGGGGAGGGAGTAGGGGAAAGGGGAGGGAGTAGGGGAAAGGGGAGGGAGTAGGGGAAAGGGGAGGGCGTAGGGGAAAGGGGAGGGAGCTGGGTAGGGGAAAGGGGAGGGCGCAGGGGAAAGGGGAGGGCGCAGGGGAAAGGGGAGGGCGTAGGGGAAAGGGGAGGGCGTAGGGGAAAGGGGAGGGCGCAGGGGAAAGGGGAGGGCGCAGGGGAAAGGGGAGGGCGCAGGGGAAAGGGGAGGGCGTAGGGGAAAGGGGAGGGCGTAGGGGAAAGGGGAGGGCGTAGGGGAAAGGGGAGGGCGCAGGGGAAAGGGGAGGGCGTAGGGGAAAGGGGAGGGCGTAGGGGAAAGGGGAGGGCGTAGGGGAAAGGGGAGGGCGTAGGGGAAAGGGGAGGGTGTAGGGGAAAGGGGAGGGCGTAGGGGAAAGGGGAGGGAGTAGGGGAAAGGGGAGGGCAAACCTGGTGGAGGAGGGGCAGGTGGGGGAGGTCGTTTCTGAGCATGGGCAGCAGCCGGGCTGTGCGGGACGCCAGCAGCGCCGCCACCACTTGCGCTCCCCAGCTCTCCTCGCCGGCCTCACCTCCCCCCTCCCTTCCCCCCGGCTCGCCCCCCTCCCCCTGCTGCTGCAGCAGCAGCAGGCAGGCGGCGAGGGCACCTCCGGGGGAGACGGGGAGGCGCGGGGGGAGGGGGAGGCGGGGGGAGGGCGCAGAGCAGCGCGAGGCGTTGAGCAGCAGCGGCAGGGGCAGGCGCAGCAGCAGCTGCCCCGCGCCTATGGGCGCTGCTGCTTGCAGCTGGGGGAAGAACCTGGGGAAAAGCGGGCGGAGATGGGAAAAGGGGAGGGAGGAGTGGGGTGGGGATGGGGAAGGAGAACGGAGAGGGAGGTGTGAGCTATTCATCCCAGAGGCCGCTGCAAGCAGCTGTAGAAAGAAGAGTGGAGAAAGGAGCGGTAGCAGCAGCACCTCCCCTTGCCACTTGCCTGTACTTCCTCTCCTCCTTCCCCTTGGCATCTTCTTTCTCCCTCTCTGCCCCGTTGTCCCTCGTCTCCTCCTCTTTCTCCTTCTCCCCTTCCACATTCTCCCCCTCAGCCTCCCCCCTTCCACGTTCTCCCCCCTCCACGTTCTCCCCCTCCGCCTTCTCCCCACTCAGATCCCCCTCTTTCCTCGTCAGCAGCACTTGCCGACCCTGCCAGTCCAAGCTAGTGTCGTCTGGAAGCTCCATCTGAAACACTCTCAACTGCATGAAAGGGCGGGTGCACGGGCAGATAAGGGGGTAGTGAGGGGTAGTGAATCAGCAACGCAGCACAGCAGCCCTGTATGTGTGCAGCACTTGCCCGCCCTGTCAGTCTGATCTGAGCTAGTGTCTTCTGGAAGCTCCATCCGAAACACTCTTGACTGCATCAAAGGGCGGGTGCACGGGCACAGGGCACAGGGGGCGGAGAACTGACAAGGAAGGACCCCGTATGGATGCAGTGCCGCACTGCATGGGTTCAACAAGGTACAATTGGTCTTGGGACATGTTCAACAAGGTACAATTGGTCTTGGGACATGTTCAACAAGGTACAATGGAACTGTCAAAAGAGGACAGGTGGGTTCAACAAGGTACAATGGAACACGAAGCAAAGGCATGGGACGGGAGTGAGAGGCCTAGTACGAGGAGGCTAAGCAGATGGTGATTTTCCAAGCGTCAAAACGCACGTCATAACAGCCCCAAGTTCTTGTGGGGTCCTTTTGGAGCGTATTGGATTGACCGAGGGATGGATGGAATCACACAACGAAACGCGGCAACACCCAATTGGTCAGACCAGTCAAGATCATGCAGCAGGAAGAGCAAAATGGGGCAGGTTGTGCTTTTGTTTATTACTCCCGCATCCCACCCATCCACCCCATCCACTCACTCGAACGGTCTTCCCATCCAACACTTCTCCGCGCGCCCCATTGGCGCGCAGCCACGTCAGCAGCTCCGCGAACCCGGAACCTTCCAGCGGAATTTCCTCCCATCCTTCCGCACCGCCCTCCGCCTCCCACTCATTCCCCTCCGCGGAGGTGCCTCCCCCTAGCTCCCGCAGCAGCCAATCGAATCCCTCCTCGTCCGCCTCCGCCTCCGCCTGCGCAACCCGCGCATGCGCGGCCCACCAGTCAGCTTCCGCTTGCGCTGCGTGCGCTACTTGCGGTTGCGCGCTGACTGAAGCGGATGAGGGGAAGGTGCAGGGCGGAAGGAGAAGAAAGAAGCAGAGGAGAGACCACCAAGGGAGGAGACCAGAGCGCAAAGAACGGAGGTTGCAACGGTGGGCAGCGCAATGATCACGTCCTCTTGCTGCTGCCGCTGCTGGCGCTGCTGATACAGCCATTCCCGGAATCTCGTACTAGACTTGCTCGTAGCGCTCTATCGTGAGGTGGACATTACAACCGACAGACGACGTGGATGGAAGTAGCGTTGTGCGAAGGTCACTGATCGTGTAATGCCAGCACAACGGGACGGCAATGGACCGAGGGAGAACGAGAAACGGGATATCGCATGAGGATTGCGCAACCATTATGCAAGAGTTCAGACTTCCCTAGGTTCCCGAGTCTCGCGCACCTTGCGGTGAGACCGATCACAAGCTTGAGTTTGGTAGTCTAGGAATTTGAAAGTTATGGGGTTGATCGAAGCAAGCGTTTTATCGCGTTGAGACGGACTCGTAACCCGATATGGTAGTGTTTATTGCTTCAATCTATCTGTACAAGATACACAATTAGCCACTTTCCAGTACTTGGTTCTTACAATCTGAGGCGTGTTCACAAAAAGTGAACCGCTGTGTACAGAGAGCGATCAATTATCTTGTCAGATCGGTGTCGTTGTGGTGTCATATACGACATTTTCGTAAGCCTTGATAACCGTAATCACTTCCTTCAGATGATGCAACCTATTACGAATTCTCTTCGCATGAGAGATCAAATTCGACACCGACCTGGACGGATCACTACAATTTGCAATCAAGCTGGAAAATTGGTTCGCTGAAAATGATTTCATGCCCAAACTCTCAAAGCCAGAATCACAGGAATCTGCTGATCAGTGTTGGTTTCCTTTCCAGCCATGTTTTGAAGACGCCCTGCGTCTCATCCTGCATTTTCACACAACCCCAAGTTCCCTGACAGAATCAGTTTTGCAGAAATTCCAAATCCACTTCGCTTCCCACGTTCCTTTCGAGAAGCGCGTCAATATTCGGGGGCTGCTCATGGTACTCCCGTTCTCGCACGGAACACCATGAGCGATCTCCGAGATTCGCGGAGAGACGCCAGCGTTTTCCGCGGATCGTTCGTTCCCCTCGTCCTCCACATCCCCCTCGCGCTCATCCTCTGCGCCGCTGTTCTTCCGCGCGCCTGCGGCGATGACCCCACGTCATGTTCCGCCAGTCATTCTCCCCCCCATTCCCCTGCGCGAGGCACCTGTTCTGCCTCTACTGATGCTGACGGCTTCCCCCGCTATGCTGCGCCGGTGGGGGAAGCGCCAGCGGGAGAAGCGCCAGTAAAGGAAGTGCATGTGGGCGGAAAACCAGTCGGCGGAGAAGCGAGGATTGGCGGAGCGGAAGGAGATCCAGGGGAACGGTGTGGGAGCAGTGGAGGGGGGAGCGGAAGGGAGATGGAGGAAGAGTTTGATTGGCTGTTGGATGATGCTGACGAGGACGCGGATGGGGTAGAGGGAGGGGAGAACGAGGACGATGTGACAATACGAACGAGGGAGGGTGACAGTAACGAGGAGGAGGAACAGGATACTTATCCAAGTACTAAACTCTTGAAGGAGTCCGGATTCATGGAGTATCTTGATTGGCTGCGAGAACACGGAGTGGAGGGTGACGTGGCAGCTCCTGGTAGCCCTGTTCGCGTGAGGGAAACAAATCCGCCACTGTAGTCCTCTCTGGATCTGATTTTCTTTTTCTGACTTTGCCATCTTTCCTTCGAGCTGACACTATTTTCTATAAACATCTTAGTTCGTTGAGTCCTGGTTTTGCTGTGTTTCCTCTCGCAGCTCAAGATTTTGAGAATAGAAATAGCTGCACAAGAGGAGGAAGAGGAGGAAGGGGAGGAAGGGGAAGAAGAAGAGAGAGCAGACAACGACCCACCAGAGTACAGGTATTGGTCAATCATTACATCTAACGAGGTGACTTTTGAGTCAATTCAAATGTCACCTCAGAGCAGACAGCAACGACCCACCAGAGTACAGGTATTGGTCAATCATGATCATCTGCCGCACATCGCATGCCAGTGCTTCTCAGAGATTCCCGTTGCTGGCCTGGCTTCTCAGGACCATCCCATCCCATCCCATCACATCCCATCCCATCCCATCCCATCCCATCCCATCCCATCCCATCCCATCCCATCCCATCCATCCATGCAATGTTTCCGTCCATCCCTCGCACGCAGGTGCCTCCCATCACAGCAATCAGCACAGCACGCACCTTTCCCAAAGGCCAGCACCTCTTGAGATGTCTCAGCAGAATTCATCGCCTCTCTCCCTCCCTGGTCCCTCCCTCGCTCACAGGTACCACCCATCGCTGCTATCAGCTCGCACCATCCCCAAAGGCCAGCGCCTCTTCTCCATTCCCCTCTGCCTCACCCTCTCCTCGTCTGCCTGCGCATCTTCCTCCTCGTCCTCCCCTCCTGAGCTTTCACCTGAGTGCTATCTGGCGGGCTGTATGCTGCAAGCAGCTGCGAAAAAGGAACGGGCGGCAGAGGGTTTGTCTTGGGCGGCACTGGCAGGGGTGCTGCTGCCGCCCGTGAATCTGGGGAGGCCGCTGCCTCTTATGCTGGATGACGACCTGCGAATGGAGCTCAGCTACAAACCGTTGATCGACAGGGTGAGTCGAATCAAAGCCATTCATTGACAATGTAAGACGAGCGGTTGACACAAAGTGAGACAAAGCTTGGGTGTCGGGCAGGCTGATGATCTGATCTGAAGTGGACTGGACTGAATGCAATGCAAGGGGTGAAACACGCTCAGATCAGCCTCGTGATTGAAGAAGTGTTTTGAGATGTCTCAAAACTACAATGCAAGGGGTGAAACACGTTTTCAGACGTCTCAAAACTACAATGCAAGAGGTGAAACACGTTTTGAGACGTCTCAAAACTACAATGCAAGGGGTGAAACACGTTTTGAGACGTCTCAAAACTACAATGCAAGGGGTGAAACACATTCAGATGAGCCTGGGGTTTCAAAAGAGAATCATCTGCCTTCAATGTGCTCCACATTTGTCTTTTGAGAATTCTCAAAAAACACACGTGCTTACTTTGTTATCCCTGTGCATTCACCCCTTGGGTTGGGTCCCATCCTTGCCAGCTAGACCAGCAGGTGGAGCAGTACCAAGACGAGCACGACGCATGGGTGAACACCACTCTGAACCGATCTGCCTCCCCTGTACCCCCTGTGTGTACCCCCTGTGTATTCACCCCTTGAGTTGGGTCCCATTCTTGCCAGCTAGACAAGCAGGTGGAGCAGTACCAAGGCGAGCACGACGCATGGGTGAACACCACTCTGAACGGATCTGCCTCCCCTGTACCTCTCTGTACCCCCTGTGTGTACACCCTGTGGGTCCCATCCTTGCCAGCTAGACAAGCAGGTGGAGCAGTACCAAGATGAATACGACGCATGGGTGAACGCCACTGTCAGCCAGTCTACCGCAGATAACGCGGACATGTCTTTCGAGAGCTTTCTTCAAGCTGTTGCTGCTGCTCTCTCCGTGTCCCTGCCGCTGCCCCAAGCCCCGTCGCCTTCAGTACCTGACAGTTCACCTGACAGCCGACCTGCTGCACTGGTGATAGTGCCCTTGCTGCACCTCATGAGCCGCCCGGCTCCTGTCCAGTCAACAACAATGGGAGAAAAAGCTCCAGCAGCAGCAGCACCGGCGATAGCAGCGGCATCAGCAGCGGCAGGGGTGGCAGCACAAGCAGCAGCAGTGACGGGTGCAGCTGGGGGAGGTGGAAGCAACGTGCAGTGGCAGGTGGGTGAGGGATGGACGGGGAAGGGGGGATGAAGGGAAAGGCGAGGGGGATGAGAGGGAGGGAGGGGTCACTCACAAGGATGGGTGGATCAAGGGACATAAGAGCCGATATTTTGAGGCGCCTCAAAATACACCTCAATGCACGCGAGGGGGATGAGAGGGAGGGAGGGATCACAAGGATGGGCGGATCGAGGGACATAAGAGCCAATTGCTGATTCTGATAGTAGTCAGTCGTGACAGCTTGACAATTTCTGATTCTGATAGTTGTGAGTGGTGACAGGTTGACACATGACTCGCCACTCCTTCATTCCCTTCCTTTCTGCCAACCACAAACACATCCTCCCTTCCATGCAATGCAGGTGTCTAAAGATTCAATCGAGGTCTCTGCCAGCGAGGATATCCCGGCACAATTGGAGTCACATCTAACTATTCTCACATGCTCCTTTCTTCAACGTTCCCATCGCCCCTTCCGTGCAATGCAGGTGTCTAGAGATTCAATCGAGGTCTTCGCCAGCGAGGAACTCCCACCGCTCCTACTCAACATACAGACACAGACATGAATTCTGCAGCACTCCTACCTCCATCTCCACCGCCGCTGCAATCTAACGATGATGTTTACTTAAGCACTGGTACTGTTCCGCAAGACACGGCTTTGGACAAGGTCCTTCTATTTCCCTCTCTTGCCCACGCCCTCCGCTCCTTCTCTCTCGCCTTTCCCTCAAACGGCCTGCCCGCTAAACTGCCCGAGAAATAATTTCAGAAGCGGGCAGCGGCGCTGGAGGACCGTGTCGTCCGGGCAGTTTTGGAGGTGAAGAGGAATGTTTTGAGCGCTGCCCGAGAGGCTGGAGGAGTCACAGAGGGCTTCCTAAATTCTGCAGCACGAGCGGGGGAGGGCGTGCCAGCACAAGATGGGGAGAGAGGGGAAAGAGGAGGAGAAGAGCATGCCATGACGGGTGGCAAGTGGTATGGGATGGAGCAGATGTGGTTCTGGGAGATGCGGCGACAGAGGCAGCTGGAGCGCGAGAGGAAGAAGAAGGAAGGAGAGAAGCACCGGATGATGCGGATGAAACACGAGAAGAACGGCAAGGAAGAAAAGGAGGAATCAGTGGCAGGGGGGGTGGATCCAGAGGGGCTCTTTGCATATCCTGAGGGGCGGATCGACCCTGAGCTCCTTGCTTACCTCACTGCTCTCGCCTATCTGCGATCCACTGGCAGAGGTACGGTGTTCTGAAAGGCGAAACAGCAGGCGAGCTGAAGCTAAGTGGGAGTGAAGCACCTTATCTCCATGCCCGCCTTACCCCTCCTACTCCCACCCCCTCTCCCCCCTCTTCTTGTTTCGCTAGATATTGCATGCGACCTTAGCTAGAGCGTGCCTCGTGTCTCATACCTTACTGGTCCGATATTGCATCGCATGTTTCAATGACCCCACTCGAAACATGTCTGGATCTCGTCACACCTCCACTCCACCCACACCAGACCAGACTGTAATCCTTCTCTTTGATAAAAGTGTAGTTTTGAGACGTCTCCTCCACCCACTTTTATCACGTCACCTGCACCCACACCAGACCAGACCCTTATCCTGCCCTTTTCGCACACTCCAGACTCATATCACCCTGCCCGTATCCTGCCCTGATCCTACTCATCACTGCCCTGATCCTACTCATCACTGCCCTGATCCTACTCATCACTGCCCTGATCCTACTCATCACTGCCCTGATCCTACTCATCACTGCCCTGATCCTACTCATCACTGCCCTGATCCTACTCATCACTGCCCTGATCCTACTCATCACTGCCCTGATCCTACTCATCACTGCCCTGATCCTACTCATCACTGCCCTGATCCTACTCATCACTGCCCTGATCCTACTCATCACTGCCCTTCCCCCGCTCCCCCAACCCAACCAGAGCCTGACCCAGCAGTGCTGGCGCGGGTGATCGTGGCACTGGCATGGAATCTGGATGGCACCACCACCTGCACGCACATGCCACTTCTCTCCCTCCCCTCCCACCCACTCTTCCTCCCCCATACCTCCTCCTCCTCTACCACCTCTGCTCCATCCGCATCACAATCCAGTACCTCCACAGCCAATCACATGCCGCCACCTGTCGCCGACCTGTTACCAGCGCTGCGGGCGGCAGCAGGCATGCTGAGAGGGCTGGTCGTCCGTGAGCGAGGATGAGTTCATGCTGACGTCAGCAGCCATCTGCAGGCGGTACCGCGATGCTGGGCGGCTGGACGAGGCCCCATCTGGGGTAGGTGCTATCTGGCTTCATGGGGTGGGGAGTAGGTGTTTCCTGGTTGGCCCCATCCAAAACCGTCGCCTCTGTCCCAACCACACTCCCTTCCCCACCTCTCACCCCCCACAGCTCTGCCTACCGTGGTTCATGGGAGCATTAGAGGAGGTGCAGCAGGTGCTGCAGGTGAGGGCCAATAAGAAGCGGGTGCTCATCGACACCTCTGATTGGCTGCTGCTCGCCTGCGACCCCAAATACGACCTGCGATTGCACGAGCCAGAGCCAGTGACTGCAGCAGCTGCTGAGAGCAAGAGGAGAAGAGGTGACGCAGCAGCAGAGGAGGATGAAGAGGAGAGGAGTGATGAGGAGAAGTTGGGAGTGTTTTTGGAGTGGGTGCGGGCCAGGGGGATCCCTGACTTTGGCAAGCCGCGATCCACCTTCGAGGCACTACAGAATGATTACTTGAGTATTCACGTGCTACTTGAGTTGAATCCTTTCCCTCCTTTCACTCCTTTCACTCCTTTCACACCTTTTCCTCCTTTCACACCATTCTCCCCCACCCTCCAGCAAGTTGCCTCGTATCATATCTCATCCTCTCCTCCTCCGCCCATTCTTCCCTCCTCCCTCGTTTCACTCTGTCACAAATCGTCTCTACCTGTTTCTCCTCCCTTCCCACCCCTGTCAGGTGATTTCCGCCCAGAGCCCAACAGCTCCCATTCACCTTCTCTCAAAGCTCACGGGGAGTTTGCAGCCTCTTTGCTGCAGGCCAAAGCACGGTCCAGGTGAGCTGTGAGGAATCTCAAGATGTGTGGTCTTGTTTGCAGCCTCTTTGCTGCAGCTATATGAAAATCACTTTTTAGAATTCTCAAAAGTGATTTCCATATAGCAGCACGGTCCTGGTGAGCTAGGAGGCATCACGGAGTGTGTGGTCTTCTTTGCAGCCTCTTTGCTTGCAGGCCAAAGCACGGTCCAGGCGAGCCTTGTTGTGAAATAACCTAACACGAATCACACAAACCCTAAACTTCGACTCTTCTCCTGGCTACTTTTGAGTCGACTCAATTATAGACTCATCGCACGCGAATCACACCATGCTGTCAATAACCTAACACGAATCACACCATGCTGTCAATAACCTAACACGAATCACACCATGCGTGGAACTTCGTCTCCTCTCCTCGCTACGTCAAAACACTTCTGAACGTACCTCCTCCCCCTGTTTCTCTCCCGCCCTCATCCGCCCCTCTCTTTCTCCGCCTACCCAAATCGTCATTCCCTCCACTCATCACCCCCTCAACGCAACCCAACACCTTTCTAGGAAGCAGCTGACAGTGGTGGCAGGGCAGTCAAAGAAGAAAGGTCAACTTCTCCTCTCTATTCCTCGCGCCCTCTGGGTATCCACCCACACCATGGCCGAAGAAGCAGCACCCTCTCCTTCTATCGAGGAGCCTTTGAGTCAACTCATATAACTTTCTTGTCCTGCCCTCCCCCCTTCCTCCCCCTCTCTCTCCCCCTCTCCCTACTCTCAACCCATTACCTCTCTCTAGGAAGCAGCTGACAGTGGTGGCAGGGCAGTCGAAGAAGAAAGGCCAGCTGCTGCTCTCCATCCCTCACGCCCTCTGGGTATCAACCCACACCATGGCAGAGGAAGCAGCACCCTACGCCAACCCTGTGTGGACGCTCGCCGCCGGAGCTGCGTGGCTGCTTCGGGAGCAGGCGCGGGGGCGAGGCTCGGAGTGGTGGCCGTACCTGCAGATCCTGCCGGCCTACGTGCCTCTGCCATTCTTGTTTGATGCTGCCACGCTGGACGAGCTACAGTCACCCTCGTTTGTGGAGCGAGTATGTGAGAGAAAATGGAACAACCCCCCTCCCCCCTAACCCACCCTTCCCCTCCACCCGGCTCGCAAGTTATCATTCTAATCTTCCATTCTTTCTTCAATCTCCCTTCCCACTAGCAATTGTTGATTTTGCCAACCGGTTTTGAGAGCTCTCAAGAACCAAGTGTGTTTCCAACTTCTTGTCTTCCTGGGTAGCTGCTTCGTTTTTCTTTTTCTCTCTCTTCCTTCTCCCCCCCCCCTCCCCCTTACCTCTTCCCACCCCAACCACTCTCCTATCCCATCGATACCCGTTCCCGCCGCCCTCGCCCTTTCAGATCCGCATGGTCCGTCAGTACTACGAGAAATAGTACAAAGCTCCACCCGCCATCCCAGCAGAAGCTTTTTTTTTTTTTTACGTCATGCCTCAATCGTGTCCCACCCCCTTTCAGATCCGCATGGTCCGCGAGTACTACGAGCAACAGTACAAACTATGCCGCCCGCCAGCCATCGCCTTCGCCTCGCTCCACCAATTCCTCTGGGCTCTTGCCGTCATGAACTCCCGAGCCTTCTCCACTCCCGCACCTGCCCGCCGAACCTCCGCCGAGCTTCACACTGACACCACACGCTTTCCCCAAGAGGAAGAGAGGGAGCAGGAGAGGGGGAGGGGGGGCATGCTAGAGCAGCTGCTGGCGCTGCCTGCGTCTGAGAGGCGGCGGTTTGTGGGCGAGCCCATGGCTCTCGTGCCCATTGCTGAGCTGATTGATCATCACCACCCCCACAACGCCCAGTACAAGGTGTGTGTGCTGTGCCATTCTACAAGCTTATGTTTGAGGTGCCTTCCACACGGTTTGTGGGCGAGCCCATGGCTCTGATGCCCATTGCTGAACTGATTGAGCATCACCGCCCCCACAACGCCCAGTACAAGGTGTGTGTGCTGACCTTCCCATGTCCTTATTCATTGTAGCCTTGTCTATACACATCATATGACATATTCCCATTTTTGTGCTCATCAACCACCACCACCCGCACAACGCACAGTACAAGGTGTGTCACTCTACAACATTGCACTATGCACTTTTCCTATACCTATATTACATAACCTAGTGCAAGGTTTTATAATCCTATCGTGTATACCTAAGTATAAACATACATATATATGAAAGCAAATGTATTATCTGCATATGTAGACATCCTAGGTATTTTCTTTACAACAACAAAGCATATGAAGCAACATACGTACCATATGATCGCATAGTGTAGTATTTCATTTTCTAGTGAGTATCATTAGTTCAAGGTGGGCAACATGCTAAGACAAACACTTGACAATCCCGTCATGCCATCCACCCCCCTATCACCCCACCAGGTGCAGCAGAGCAGTTTTGACTTCTACGCCAGGGAAGAGGTTCAGCGCGGTGCAGAGCTCTTCACAGTGTACGGATACAAGCCCAACCACCACCTGCTTCTGGGATACGGCTTCGTGCTCGACGACAATCCCTATGACCACGTCCGGCTCTTCCCGAACCTCTCCCGAGCCATCCGAACCGTCGCCTCGGTGGCGTACCACCAGGAGGGGCAGGGTGCAGGGAGAGGGGTGTGGGGAGGGAGCGGCGGGGAGGTTCGTCCGGGGGAGGTAGATCTGAGGGCAGGTTTGCTCCGTGTTTGGGGCACAGCGGACTCTGTGCTGCTTTCAGGAAACGAGGAAATAGGTGTGGGAGGAAAGGGGGTTATGGGAGGAAAGGGCGGTGTGTTAGTGGTGCATGTGATGTGGCAGGCAGCAGCAGCAGCAGTGGGTGAAGTGGTGAAGGCTCGAGAGGTTGGAGGGACGTATGCCGAAGGGAACAGCCTTCCGCAGCTGCAGCTGCGGCAGCGGATAGAGCACAGGGTTGCACAGGAAAAGAAGTGGGATAAGGCGGACCGAGTACACAGTGACACAAGCACAAGTCTTTTGAAGGAGGTGCTTGTAAAGGAGGAGGACGAAGGCGTGGGAGTGTCTGTGTGGGCTGGTGGCATAGTGGAGCCGAATCTGCTCGCCGCCCTCGCTGCCAGCTGGCACGCCGTCCACATGTCACAAGGTGATTTGCTGAGGCATGCACGATTAGAGTATGTCATATGGCCTGCACAAACATTTGTAGCTCACATCTATCTGTTCTCATTCTCCACCTCATCCTGCTCTACCAGAGTTTAAGCATCTCTAACGCCTCTACTCTGCTCCCACCCACCTCACCATCTCCTGCTGCCGTTTTCCCCCACCCTCTCGTCACGTCCAGCCTCCCCTGTCCCTGTCCCCCACACTACACATCCCTGGCAAGTGGTGTGTTCTGAGGTGTCCCCAACTTCGATGTCCCTCCCTGCTCTCTCCCCGATGTGCAGCCTCCCCGGACTACACATCCCTGGCCAGCGCGGCTATTCATTACGGCTGGGCCCTCTCCACCTCCTCCTGTCACCACCTCCTCCCAATCGCCTCGTCCTTCACACCCGCTCTCAAAGCTTCTGCTGAAACCGTCCGACTTTTTGTCGAGGCTAGATTGAAGCAGTTCCCGACGAGTTTGGAAGAAGATGAGGCGGTGCTGGAGGAGCTTCGGGCCTGTGAGTCGGAAGGGCGTGCGGGGATGAAGGTCGAGGGTTGGTGTGAGGTGGTGCTGCCGGTGGTGGAGGAGAGGATTACGGCCGTTCGGTTTAGGATGCACAGGAAAACTGTTCTCAAGGATGTGGCAGCACGATTGCGAGAAACTTGCGTTTGGGACGTCAGAAAGACGGATGTGGTTCGGTAGTAACGTGGCTACAGAGTCTGTACGGTGTTTACAAGGAATGTTGTTTTGTGACACGTAGTATCATAAATATAAAAAAGTTTCCACATAGAAAACGAGAATATGAGAACGGTGGTATTTATATTTTACTATCCTTAGATCACCAGAATGACCCCACTCGACCAAGCGCACATCCCAACTGTCTTATCTATGTGTGCTAGCTGTATAATATTTTTATGCTAAAAAAACAGATGTTTATTCCATGGACGAGGTGTACAGTTAAAGCGACGGTGCACATTTGCCACCCAAAACCCAGAACCCTGGCGAACTGTTACTGCGGATGGAAAGTGTCCGCACGAAATCCTGGTTTTCGCCAGCCAGCACTTTCGCGCTGGCAAGCCTGGTTCAAAAAAAAAACTTCTGAACCCAACACTGCCAAAAGTTGCCCGTCGCTTTAAGGATCAATCTGGATTTGTGTGGATGAAGGTCCCAGTGTTGCCGAAGCAGTTCGCAGAACCCCTCCACATAGCCCTGCGATGCGAATTCCCGTGGTCATCACCGAACCCAGAAGTCGCAAGAGGCAGCCAGTCGTATGAGGCGTGTACTGTCCTCGGTGCGTGTCAGATCCGCCACTGGCGATAGCAGCAGGTTCTGCGACTTCAGTCAAAGCTTCAATCAGTTCCCTCTCATCCTTCCCATCCTTCCTAGCTTTCCCTCCAACGCTCTCCCCCTGCAGCCTAAGCAGCTGGTATCCCTAGGATCTGTGAACTCGTGTGCTTCGGCCCGCAGGCTTGTACTGTTCTCGTCATATTACGTGGCAGATTCTTCGTCGTCGCCTTATTGCCGGATTTTATATTAGTTTCGGCTGGGGGAGGGCCCGCGATGGCCTCGAAAAGGATTCTTAAGGAACTGAAAGATCTTCAGAGAGACCCTCCTACATCATGCAGTGCAGGTCCAGTTGCCGAAGACATGTTTCATTGGCAAGCGACAATCATGGGTCCTCCAGATAGTCCTTACGCCGGTGGCGTCTTTCTGGTTACCATACACTTTCCTCCCGACTACCCTTTCAAGCCTCCCAAGGTACGATCTGAAATCCGCGTGTATTGAATCGCGACGTTTGATCTGTATTGTTTGCCGTTTAGTTACCATATGGTTCTTCGCAGGTACCCTAAATCCGTGTGTATTGAATCGCGACGTTTGATCTGTATTGTCTCCCGATTAGTTACCATATGGTTCTTCGTGGTTACCCTCTTAAGTCACTTTCGGCAGTCACGGTCGTCAATCATGGTCATCTGGGCTTGTTGTCTGGTAATTCTTCAGTCTCAACATTACCTTCTGTCGCTCCATTACGCTCCAAAAAATTGCAGGTCGCCTTCAGGACGAAGGTGTTTCATCCCAACATCAACAGCAACGGGAGCATTTGCTTGGACATTCTGAAGGAGCAGTGGAGTCCGGCCTTGACCATTTCTAAGGTAGTCAAATGAGGCTTTTTGTTCGATTTTGTCACGATTTGGTGTTCTTTTCTAATATTTGTGCTTTTGTCCTTCGCAGGTTCTTTTGTCGATTTGTTCCATGTTGACGGATCCGAACCCAGATGATCCTCTGGTTCCTGAAATCGCGCACATGTATAAGACAGACAGGCAAAAGTATGAAGCAACCGCACGTACCTGGACAGCCAAGTATGCCATGGGCTAGCCACAAAACGAGGGGGTCTTCCCTCTCTTTTGTACATCCAAGCCCCTAGTTCCTGCATCAGTCATCCTACGAACAGTCTTTCCTCTTGTGATCCCTCTTGTGATCGCTCTCCTGTTGGACCATCAACGATCAAGCAGAATGGCCTGACATAATTTCTCCATCCCATCCTCTTGAGGCTGTTATCTGAAACATGCTGTATGAGATGTGATACCATGATATGATTATGGAGGTGGATGAGCTAGTTAAGATGGTATCATCTTGAGGCAGCCATGGAGAGCTTGTTGATTCAAACTATTTGCAGTGGAGGAATGCATGCAGAGCTTGGGTTCGTTTGGGTGTCAAATGCATTTTGTGTCATCTGAGGTATGGGGGGATGGCATCCAGACCACAAGGTTTGCCAGGCAGAGATGCTGAGAGTGAGTGCATGTCACCCTTGGAGTTGGGTTTTGCTGCAAGTGAACCTTATTCACGCCTCATGTTAAATGGAAATACTATCATATTATGTTCTTCTCAAGGGTTTCTTTGAAAGTTATGGGGGTAAACATGCACAAGAAGAGGTTGCGTAGTTTGATGGAGATTGGAGTTGTATTCTCCTGAAGGAGAAAATGCAAACATAAGGCAGTAGTCTTCTGCTAGAGAACAAGTTTTAGCATTTTCACCCACTTCCAACATTGCGTATGCTTTGTTTGAATGTGCCACGTCATAGAAGTGATGTGGATGGTCACCGTGAATTGTCCACCCCATGCCCCACGCTGGCGTCCCCCAATCAAGGACTTGTACATCACCGAGGCGCGCCAATAACCTCAGAATCTCCCTGCCCTTTGACTGGAAGGCCTGAGATCTCTTCGCGAACAAAACCGTCGCGAAACTCTCTATCGCGTGCCTTTCTCCCATCTTGTGAGCTGTCGCGAATCTCGTAGCACCGAAGACTTCCTTCGCAAAGGCTTTGCCAGGCTGTGGAGAATATTTCGTTGGGCTTGACTCTGCACCCATCCTCACGCTCCATTTGGCTGCGAGCTTCTGGGTTCGAGCTACAAGATGCTGCCAGTTGTGTGTATTTCCTGAGAATCACGCCGGCATTCAAGATCTCAGGAACTCCACAAAGTCGAAAGGATTCTCAAATTGTTTTGCGTTTGGTCTCATTTCTAGGCACATGGCTACCGCGAAGTATGCCACGGGCACCTGCCTTGTGGGAGCAAGCCAGCAGAACAAGAAGCTCGCTAGCGCTTGTCAACAAAGGCTTGCTGCTTCGCCGGGTGGGGCCAAGGTTTCTTGGAGCTCTGCCGTTTCCCAATCTCTGTCAGTTCAGCAGAAGAGTGGCACCAGCAAATCTGAATTTTTAAGGAGGCCGGTGGCGCCTCGAGCCATTTCCGATTCGGAAGCGTTCACGGATGTCTGTCTTGATCCAGAGCCCAACAAGGTGCGTCCTTGGGCTAAACTGTCCCTCCCTGTCGGTTTATTTCGTGACTGGCTTTTGTGAATCATGTTTGAGATTTTCGTCTCATGCAAGCTTGGTGTTTTTTTTCTGTCAAGCAGAGCGTGCTCTCGGTTATTCTGGGTGGGGGAGCGAGCGCAAAGCTTTACCCGTTGACAAAGGAGCGAGCAACGCCTGCTGTGCCGCTGGCCGCGAATTACAGGCTGATCGACATCCCCGTTAGCAACTGCTTGAATAGTGACATAGATCGGATCTACGTTCTCACTCAGGTAACTTGACAGTCTCGCCACCTCTAAGCATGCACAGAATAGTTTTCAACTGGATAAAAGGTTTCTGCTTGGTGTCGATCAGCGACCGTCGATCATGACGTTCGTTCCTTCGTTCGTTCCACCACAATTTCATGCCTTTTTTCCATCGTTCGCTGCTTTTCTCTTTTCGCAGGTCAATTCTGCCTCGCTGAACCGTCACTGCTTCACAGCTTATGCGCCGTGCCTGACCGGGTACCAGACCAAGGGCTTCGTGGAAGTGCTCGCAGCGCAGCAGAGCCCGGATAATCCCAACTGGTTCCAGGTAAGGATCCGTGGGTTTCAATTGGCACTTGAAGAGACCAATAGGGAAAAGAAGAAGAAGAAGAAGAAAAACAATTTAGTCGAGTTCAGGTAAACGAAACAACTAGTATAGACACTGTAACGAAGCCCTGAGTGGAAGCCTTTGATTTCTGATTATCCCGATTTTGTGTATAATGTGGACTTTTGGACAGGGAACGGCGGATGCGGTGCGTCAGTACATATGGCTGCTGGAGGACCACAACCCTCAGGAGTATCTGATCCTCGCAGCAGACCAGCTTTATCGCTGTGACTACCGCAGAATAATCAAGTGTCACCGGGCTGCTGGTGCTGATATCACCGTCGCCGCGATCCCTGTTGACAGGTGAGGAAATTCCAGGGATCCGATTTTGCTAACCAGCTTTTTTTGTGTGTGTTCTTTTCGTCAAGTGCTTACCTTTCGGCAGAGAGATCGGTATCTCACGTTTCTTGATGGCTGCACGTGTTCAGAGAGCGTGCGACATCCTTCGGGCTCATGAAGATTGACGAGGACGGTCGCGTCATGGAGTTCTCGGAGAAGCCTCAAGGAGCAGAGCTTGACAAGATGAAGGTACGGAAAGTGGTCACTAACTGGAAAATTAGTTTCGTCAGTAACCTGGTATCAATCATCACGGATTATTTTTTCGTTCGCACCACCTTTTATGAAAGCGTGATTGGTCTGTTCCTTTTTTTCACAAGAAGTTGACGTTTCCACAAGCGTGATTGGCCTGATTTTGTTTACATTGTCAGGTGGGCTCAACGAACAACAAAATCCTTTTTTGAGACGTCTAAAAACAAAGGTTCAATTTTCTTTTCTCTCTGTTTACGTTGTCAGGTGGACACAACGAACGTGGGTCTGGATCCCCAGGAGGCAGCGAAGCGGCCATTTATTGCGTCCATGGGGATCTACGTCATCAGCAGGGAGGCTCTGCCTCGCCTCCTTCTCGAGCAATTCCCAGACGCCAATGATTTTGGGCGGGAAGTCATCCCTTCTGCCTGTGCCAACGGATCCAAGGTGAGCTAAGAATGAGTCAGGCTTGAAATCGCGATCAGCAGGGGCGCTCTGCTTATTCTGCTGCTGGAGAAGTTTCCAGAAGCCAGTGACTTGCGCCGAGAGGTCACTCCCGCTGCCTGTGCCAATGGCTCCAAGGTAAACTAGTTTAAATTGAGACTCAAAATCGTGACCCAGCAGGTAAGTTTTGCCGCGCCTGCTGCTCGAGCAGTTCACCAGGCGCCCACGGATTTGGCCGGGAGGTCATTCCCGCTGCCTGTGCCAATGCCAACAGCTCCAATGTGAGCTGCAGGCTGTA